TGTTTGCCTCAAGGATTCTATTCCGCTGCAGTACTCTTTAACAGAGGTCGTTTCGTTCTTTAAGTAAAATAGCTAGGATGCCATCCGGACCGGGAGATTTGAAACAGCCAAAAGACCCATTAGCATATCTTGTGGCATCTTCACTCGCCACAGTTCTGGCAGCAAACAACTTGTACCTTGGCAACAGTGGTTTTCCTCCTGTCAAGGGAGAGGAAAGTGGAACTATCACCTGATTTCCAGGAAAGTGAGTCTCTAGAAGGACAGGTAGAGTCTCAATCCTAGTCTCCGTTAAAAGCTATCAGGCCTCTTGAGTAATCCTAGCTTTGTAGTTTGGTTCTTCTACATCAATCGAAGGTAGCTAACGGTACATTCAGCTACATTGATGGTTCAAAGGTGAAGCAGGAAACTGGCGCCAGTTTCTTTTCGGAGCGTTTGCAGATCAGTCCATTATTTGCCTATGCCGAAACACTGCAGCGTATTTCAAGCTAAAACTTATGCTGCAGAGAAGTGAGGCAGTCTTCTACTAAATTCGAGTAGAATTCCACAAAAGGATTACCGAACTTTTTTCAGCTATAAATTTGATATTTAGTAAAATTTCTAATGACTTTTGGGCCAACGGAGAAAATTGTGCAGTAAAAAGGTCATTATGGCCACCGTTAAACAGTAAAAAAGGTTTACCTCATTAAACTCATTAGTCTGTCTATGGCATTAAAGTCTGTGCGCAGAAATTAATATTCGTAGGAGTTATCGAAGTAAAGAGGATCATTCCACTGCTGCTGCTACCTCGACCCCGATAGGAGCTGAGCTCTTACTTGCGGAAGTTCATACCACGATAAAGGAAGAGCTCAAAAAGGAAAATACCAAACTGAGGTAACAGCATTGGCGAAACACCATGGGCCTTGGTCAAGCTAAGAGCTTATTAGAGGTGAAATACGCGCTATTCATAAACCACCCCAAGGAGAGGATAAGAATTATTACAGGTCATTTCACGGGTCAATGCAGGCTAAGAGGCCACTTGCATAAGCCAAGGGTATGTCAAGTGATGTGCGTCGCTTTTGTGGGTCCGGCAAAGAGACATCATTGTACCACCCTCTGGAGTTTGAGGCCGTTTCACGAAGAAGATAGAGGTACATAGGACATCTATGGCCAAGCAAATAGCACATACAATCCCTACTCCCGCAACCTTTTCTAAATGGTAACAATTCTTCACTGGTCTAACAGATATATCGGGGTGGAACTCTTGGATCTCCTCCATTTCACTCGGAATGGCAAATTATTCAGTCAGTCACTGCCCTGATTATTCTTTATTTTATAATAGACAACTACAAATGTATTATTTCTTTGTAAGCCAAAACTTTTTCCATATTTACGAAGAAACGTATAAACGTCAATTAAATTGTAATCCTTTTTAAATAAAAATGTATAAAACATCCTCCCCACGGTACGCCTCTTCAAAACTCTTTGAAGCGCCTACTTAAGTACGAACGCTCAAGTATCCATTTTTCGCGACAGCATTTAGTTTTTGTTTTGAATGCAGTTCCACTTATTTAAATATTCTTAAGTATGAAGTATTGCTGAAGTGCTCAATGAAAAAAGAAAAAGCAAAAAAAAAACGCGCAGAGTTGTATACAAAGCGCACAAACAAGTCACGAAATTGAATTGCTGCCACATTTTGTGGTTCAACGACGCATTCGCTACCCCATTTTTTATGTGCCGCATTTGCTGCAAACAAGCGAACAAACAGCGAGACCTTTGATCCTCCCCAACTACAACGAAAGCTTGAAAATGGAATTTGAAGTAAGTCTTCGATTTGTAAGCGTAAAAATTGCACAGACGTAGATCCGCGCTGCTCATTGCATGTTTGAGAGAAAGCAAATAGTGAAAAGGTTTAAGAATTTGCATATTGTTTGATAACGATTTAACTATAGTTATATATAAAAATATGTAGTAACTTAAGCATTAGCAACGTTTGATTGTGCATTGCTTTTGAGGCCTGGTGTCTGTTGACATAAGCGAAGCAAAAGCATGGCCTACGCGAATTGCACAAGACACAACGCCATAAACTATCAGATAACTCGCGACCTTTCTTGCAACCAACTCTTTGAGAGAACAGTCCTAGTAGCGTTTGGCTTGTCGAACGATATCAACCAACATCTTTCATCAAACCAGGCTACTAGAGAAGGTGTGCTCTCCCACAGGGACAGCAAATTATCTGAGTTGTTGGCAGTAGTGCACCAAAGCCCTCGCCAAGGCAAGTCAGGAAACATCTATACGAACTGATGGACGATGTTCAGAGAACCAGCCTCTCGACGCGACTGCATACCGACAGACCATTAACGGCATTCATAGGGAGTCGGTCTCGTTTTAGGTTTACAACCACCCGATGTGGACGGGACAGTTCTTTGTCTACCTCAGGAGACTCGCACCACAATAGTCCAACTCCGCGGCTACTGCAGCAAACTAAACCCGTATCTGAGCAGAGTGAACGCAGATGTATCCAATGAGAGCCCGGCAAGTGAAGAGCCGCCACATGACTCACGGCATCTCTTCGCATGCCACCAAAACCCAACCCAGCTGACGCCCTGTCCCTATGAACAGACCCAGTTGATGGACAAGCCGATCCGAGTGGGGTTTAGTAGCCGCTACATCAACAACCACAACAGCTGAAGATGACAATTAAATTTGTTTTTGTTCTAATGCAAGTGGACTTTAATAAATCGCAAAATGCCTTTAAAGAAATTTCTGCTATGGTGCTCAACAATATCAATATACCAATAGAACCAACTGATTCGAGAAATTTTTACTTTTTTGTAAGCAAGTGCCAAAAACATGGTTTTTGACGATATTTGAGGTTAGGATATCTCAAGATTCTGACGTGCTAGAGAAAATCGGAGGCCAGATTTGCGTCCAGCACACAAAAATCTACAAGAAACGGTGTGTTTCACTCAGGTGGTAAAATTTTGTTGAACTGTGTTATTTCCAGATTTTTTGTGTGGTCAATTTTCTCATTCAATATAAGGTTTTCGAGGGGATTAGTAATGATTTTTCACTACAACTATTTGGCAATAGGTTCAATACCTATGGTCAAAGGTAAGCGGCTTTCTCCCCGATTTGGCTCGCTTCTTTACTGCAAGCAGCGTCTAGAAATCCTCGGCAACTATTTTTACCACCTGAACGAAAGAGGCAAAATAAAGAATTGGTGAAATAAAATTTCAAATTCAGATTTTTCGGACCACAAATCCCTAGAAAAACTGGAACCAGACAGAATGAAAAATTACACTGAAGATGGCACAACGCTGAAACTGGTTTTTCTAAAAACCAAATTCGACAAGGGATAAGGGAAATTCGTTCCAAAATACATCATATAATTAATTCGAAACATTGTTTAAAAAAATCAGTTCAATGTAGAATAATAATATAAGTACTAAATGAGAGAGAAAATTTTGTAGAATTTAAAACAATATAATTTTTTGGTTTACAACGACGAATAGGTATTTAAAATCCGCTTTTAATAAATTATATCTTTTTAAGTTAATAAAGTTTGCAGGGCGAAATTCGATGATGAGGTCTTGCGTATATTAGTCCTCAAACTATATTAAAAAAAAAAATAAAATATTGCAAATTTTCAATGAAATTTAAGGACACAGTTTGTAAAGGACATTTTCCATACCCATTCGTCCTTATGCACCAAAAAATAATCCTGATATAATTCTACAGAATTTTTTTTTCTATATGATTTCCTTATTGTTATCTTGCATTGCACTGAATTTTTTGAATAATTTTTTGAAATAATCATATTTCTTAAATTTCAAAGTCCTTTAAAAAAATGCTGACGTCAGAGTAAAAAAATAAGCACGCAGTTTTACTATAATTTACCCAGCGTTACGCGAACATATTGCTTTTTTTTGTGTGTAAAATTTACTGTCGCACGGAAATATTTTTTTCATTTCAACATAAAAAATTTGAGTATATTTTTCGTCATCGAAAAGTCCTAGGGGATGAGAGCATTAAAATGCCGACTTTACTTTTTTGGACCATCCTATGCTAGAGCCAACGAGAAACGCAACCGTTTAACAACAAAACGCTCATCAAAACTATTGTTTTTGCAAAAATCGTTAAATAATAGCTAAAAATATGTACTCGTTTTATTTTATTTAAGGCTAATTAAAAAGAGAATTAGTAATTTTTGTAGGGAAAATTGTTTTTGTGAATTTTCACTGTAAAAAACTGCGTTAAAAAATTCGATTAATCGATCATTTCGCAATAATTGCAATTAATTTTTTTTTTTGCTTCTGATTATACATATAATTAATTAATCGAGTAATTGATTTTATTTTTTTGCCATCCCTTCGTAGTGGAAATTTGGCTAAACACAGATAGAATATCAAAGAATCGCTTAGCATATATACAAATTTTTTCTTTCTGAGTCTTGCTGTAATTCATTCAAGCTGTGTTTTCTATCGTACAAATTCTCCATGGTTGTAATATTTTTCTTTAAAAACAATGATGAAATTAAAAGATAAATGAGTTCAAAAGCGAAAGTAAATTTCTTACTATAAGCTTGAAGTTGAAGCAAGGACCACTTAAATTTCCTGCTTATCTCAAATAAATTCAGAGTTTTTCTATTCAGCTGTTCGTTCTGCTGTACACTAACCAATTTTCTTAGATCATTAAAACAATTTTTGTTTTTTTAGATTCCCATTCAAGCAATTGAAACCAATTGCCTCCACAATTAGCTGCGTATATATCCCTTGAAAATCCTTTCTTCCGCCTTCCAAAACTCTAAAGCCAAACTGGCTCCCTTTAAAATTAATGACTTTATCTACGACAAAGAAATTATTGTGAGGGTTGTAAAAATGGAAAAACGATATAAATTAAGTAAACGCACAACAGTTTGATAATGAAGATAAGACTAAGTATGTATATAAGTACGTGCATAAGTGAGCAAGTAAGTAAGTGAGTAAGTAAGTAAGTAAGTATGTAGTAAATGTCATACGCACCTTTCATTCCCGCGACGGTGGGACAGAGTAACATTTGTGCCACAAACAGCGTGCAACACGCGTATATCCAATGCAGCTGCAACATTTTGCGTCGAAACATTTCACAAGCCGATGAAGTATAATCTACGAATGCATAGACACATATGTAGAACGTGTGGGCGTTTAAAAAAAAAACGAATAACAAATGTGACTTTTGTGAGTTAGCCCCAGCCTTTGAGTAATTGAAAATTTTTTAGTTATTTTTATCTTCAACAATTTGTCCTGCCGCAACTATATTTACATTATTTCACTTGCGTAGGGGGAGTGTCGATACTTTTGGCTAAGCGAAGCGCGTGTCGTCAATTGATTTTCGATCATTATCGCTGCACATTTATTGCCGCCGCAGCCGCTGCCGCTGCCGCTGCACTTTCTGACTTTATATGTAGTTGAATTTTCCTCGATTTGTGTNCAACACTAACACATGGGCGCAGGAGCGTTGCTATTGTTTTTCTGTCTGTTGAATGGTTGTCATTCGAATGTATGTTATGTATACATATGCAAGTATGTACATAAAGGCAAATGCATATAAATTTATGTATATTTTTTGTGTTTATGTATGTAAATGTGGTTTCTTCAATATCGCATGTATGTATGTATGTATGAATGAACATACATTTGCATGTAAATCTCGCACTCAACAATGAGAAATCATTTTTTGGCAGCAATTTTTATGTCTGTTTATGATTTTTAACTCACACATATTTAATTGTGAACTTACTTAAAATTTTTGTAATTTTTTTGATAAATGCGTTTTTCTTGAATTTCACTCACGGCTGATGAAATATACATAGATAAACAAACATTACTTGGATTTCCGGCTTCTGATGCCAATTCTTTTGCAATATTTTCGTGAAATTGTTTATTCAATAAATACTTATGTATATGTAACTTGTACACTGTCTATCTTCAGCAGTCTGTCTATCTAAAGCGGTGAAAAGAATTTTTTACACTTAACTTTTTTATTCAGATAGGTACTGACATACACGAAAACTGCGATATTTTAGTTCAAAAATAGCACCAAAAACCTAATTATTATGATTCCGTAGAATTTTTTATTTTATTATTTCTGTGCAAACTTTTTAAGCTTAAACTGTTTAGTTGTTTGAGGTAATTTTTTCAAAAGATATAAAAAAAAAAATTTATAGATAAAAAAATAAATTTTTGGAGGTATTTTCAAATTGGTGTAGCTCACGTTAATCTTAATATTTTTGCGAAATATTTTTTTGTGGAAGTCTTAAAATATAATAGATTTTATAATTCCAGGGGACTGTACATAAGTTGACTATGATTACTGGGCCATGCTATCATAGTAGCACAATGCCACTAAGTGCATTTTAAAATTTTCAGCAAATAGCCCCATGCGATTATCGATTTTTTTTTTTTGTTTTTTGTATTTTATTTATATCAGCATTTTTCTTTTAATCAAAATATTTTGAAATAAAATCGATTCTCGATTTTTTTTTTGTTGTTTGTATTTTATTTATATCAGCATTTTTCTTTTAATCAAAATATGTTGAAATAAAATTGAAAATAAACAAAATATTTTGCCAGAAAAAATGGAATAGAATTCTTGTAAACCAACATTTTTCGATCCGAGAAATCTGTCTATCTTCAGAAGACTTCCAGTAATAATACCCAATTGTTTATTTAACCATTTTTTAATACTTATTATTTTATTAGGTCCCCTTCAATGCATTTTCTTTGGTTTTTAGAAAAATAGCTAATATTAAAAAATGGTTAAATAAACCATTGGATATTATTATTGAAAGTCTCCTAAAAAGAAACAGTTTTCAGATCGAAAAATATTAATTTTCGAGAAACAGTTCTCCGATGGAAAAACATTGACTTTCGAGAATTGAATAACATTTACACGAAACAACTTGTTTTCCCACATTAAAAAGCCTTGAGCAACCTCTAAATACAAAACAGGAGTTTATTGTTTTTCAATATAAAATTATCCTAGGAAGTGACAGCATTAATATTCGGACCTAGCTTTTTGCACAAGCATTTTTGGATCATCGTAATATGTATACTTTTAAATACAAAATAAAATCAAAAAAAAAACAGAGCTCCATGTAATTTGTTGCTCACCTTTCTTCCTCCCTTTTTATATCCTTTCCAATTTCACGAACCACTTACGTAAACTTTAAGGTTCGAGGGAGAGACATATGTATGTACATACATATATAACTGTTATAATGCCGAATTCTCACTAGACATTGAAATGACAAAAAATTGATGCCATTTAAAATATGCCATGTGCAAATGAACCTACTGACTATTTTTTTAACGTGATGACACCATTGTTTTTTAACGCCCAACATTGTCTTTACAATTTTTGACATTTAATGCCTTGTGGAAATCTAGCATAAGGAATGTCAACAAAAAAATTTCCTTAACTATTAAATTGCAGAAATAAGATTTTGATATTTTAGTAAAAGTTATTTTTAAATAAAAAACTATAAGCGTAATTTATAATATAATCTTTTTTCCGTCACTCTCATTTTCGACTTTTTTGTTTTTACCCTGCCTGTTTAGAGTTATTCTCAATTTTAATTTTTTTCATTGACCATAGCTTCATTTTTTACTTTTGTTTCTTAGCATTGCTTTGCAAAAGTTTTTTTCGAAGAAAATTTTCTTTCCGTTGCTGCTAATACTAAGCATGAGAATATACATATGTACATAAGTTTGTTTTAAACAAGACTACTTTATAAAGAACTTTAATAAAAATAATATTTTGATGCTCACACTTTTGTTAGTGTTGTCACACAAACATTTTTAATGTATAATTGTTTTTTTTTAGTGCGATTTTCCACATTTTTAATAAACATTAAGAATTTCACAGGCGCGTAAATTTTAGCTGTTAATAACCGCCGGATTTAGACTTACAAGAAAAAGTAATTAGTTCTTATCGACGAAAAGAACTTCCAAAAAATCAAACATTTAAGGGCGTGGTCACAAATCCACCCACTGGTTATTAATCAGTAACAAATTCGAAAAGACTTTTATTACTTTTTAACATGAAAGGGCACTACGTCAACACATACACAAACATAAACGTATGTACGTATGCACGCATATTTAGTTTTTTGTTTATACACTTGTATTTTTTTTTTTNGTGCCATTTAAAATATGCCATGTGCAAATGAACCTACTGACTATTTTTTGAACGTGATGACACCATTGTTTTTTAACGCCCAACATTGTCTTTACCAATTTGGCCATTGAATGCCTTGTGGAAATCTAGCATAAAGAATGTCAAAAAAAAATTCCTTAACTATTAAATTGCAGAAATAAGATTTTGTTATTTTACTAAAAGTTATTTTTAAATAAAAAACTATAAATGTAATTTATAATATAATCTTTTTTCCGTCACTCTCATTTTCAACTTTTTTGTTTTTACCCTGCCTGTTTAGAGTTATTCTCAATTTTAATTTTTTTCATTGATCATAGCTTAATTTTTTAATTTTGCTTTTAGCATTGCTTTGTAAAAGTTTTTTTTCGAAGAAAATTTTCTTTCCGTTGCTGCTACTACTAAGCATGAGAATATATGTATATAAGTTTGTTTTAAGCAAGACTACTTTAAAAAGAACTTTAATAAAAATATTTTGATGCTCACACTTTTGTTAGTGTTGTCACACAAACATTTTTAATGTATAATTGTTTTTTTTTTTTAGAGCGATTTTCCACATTTTTAATAAACATTAAGAATTTCGTAGGCGCGTAAATTTTAGCTGTTAATAACCGCCGGGTTTAGACTTACAAGAAAAAGTAATTAGTTCTTCTCGACAAAAAAAAACCTTCCAAAAAATCAAACATTTAAGGGCGTGGTCATAAATCCACCCACTGGTAATTAATCAGTAACAAATTCGAAAAGACTTTTATTACTTTTTAACATGAAAGGGCACTACGTACACACACACACAAACATAAACGTATGTACATATGAACGCATATTTAGTTTTTTGTTTATACACTTGTATTTTGTTTTTTTTTTAGAAAAAAAATCTATACTAATTTATGTCCATTCACATGCAATTTATCACCCTTAGCGTGCAGTTAAGCGCACAATATTTCCCTCTTTGCTCTCATTAAAAATACACTTTCGAGTTGTTAAAAGATCAAATTGTCGCAAACTCATAAAAACGAAGCCATAAAACTTCAACAACAACAACTTCAATTACTTTTGTGCAACAAATGTTCAGCAGATGCATTTTTTCATATTAAAAGCCGTTTGGAAATTTTTAAATGAAACATGTGTAACAACAAAAAGAGTGATAAGAAACAAATATATATACGTACATACATAAAAACAACAGCTGTCACTTTGGCTGCAAGTTATCGGCAATAAAGTGCCAAACGTAGCTGCTTAGTTTTCGAAAATCGTATGTGTTATAATGACATTTATGTGCATAAAAAAAACTATTTTTTACAAAAAAATATTTTTATTGAGTTAAAAAAAAAACAATTTTAAAAATGCTGTATTTCTAAAAATTTTATGTCACATATACATAAATACATACATATGCACATATACATATGTAAGTAGTTTAATTTTCATAGAATACTCAGTACGCCAATGGCCAGCCGCTGTGTTTATTTTTCATAAACACCAATGCCATTCGGAGGCGACATAGAACTAGGAGATACCGATCCCATCCATTCGACAATGCAATATTTAGACACAAATCATCAACTTTATTATGCGCTGTAGTTCAAGTTGAGATTTAAACAATTCAAGCTTGCTCAGCGTTGTAGCCCACCAGTCTCCTAAAGTCTTGCTCATGTAAGAAAGATTAGCCACCCACCAGGTCACCTAGTTATCGCGACCAAGGATGATCTGTTGTAACTAAACTCTATGTGGTAACAGGTCTTATTAGATCCACGTACAGCTAAAGAACCTCGGAACGTCCCTTGGCAAGCTTACAACAAGGATCGTAGAGAAAAGGGCTTCTCTTATAAACAATTCTGCGCTTCATCGTATCTATTGCAGGCGCGTTTGATTTCATGAGCGTGGGCCACCAAATTAAAACTCCATAGAAAAACAATTGCCATATTTTATCCAAACAAATATTCTTGGAGAGACATTTTAAAATGAAATGTGCCTTTCCAGTATAGCCTGTTATCAAGAATCAAGAAGAAGAAAATCAATAATTATATAAAACTTACGGACCAAATGACATTATTCGATATAATTGGATTCAAGCTTACATAAAAACATGGATCGAAGATTAGCGAAATCTAAATCGGGGCTACTAAATATATAATTTAGCTCAGTAAGAGGCCTTGTAATATGGGCAAAATTTAAGTAATTAAATTTAGCAATTGTCACATGAAACGGATAACGAAAGCGAAGTGGGCACCTTAAAACATACATATTTGCTCAAGGAGATCAGGACATT